GCTTGGGAAAGGTCAAACAAATTAAGCTTAATGTTTATGCGGATGACCTTAACAAAGAATATCAAGTCTACTATCCCTAAAACCGAGAATGCTAAGGAATATATGAAATTTGTGAAAGAACGTTCCCAAACAGCTGACAAATCACTTGTTGGCACACTGATGAGTACCTTAACCACCATGAAATTTGATGGTTCTCGTACCATGCATGAGCATGTTACTGAAATGAGTAATATTGCAGCAAGACTTAAGACTCTTGGGATGACTGTGGATGAGAACTTTCTGGTACAATTTATCATCAACTCTTTGCCTCCCGAGTACGGTCCATTCCATATGAACTATAATACCTTAAAGGATAAATGGAATATGAATGAATTGCACAGTATGCTCGTGCAAGAGGAGACAAGGCTTAAGAATCAAGGAACTCATTCTGTTCATCTCGTAAGTCATCAAGGAGTTGGAAAGAAATATAAGAAAAGATCTGGAAAGGGCATTAAGCAAGGACCACTAAAGATAAATGAGTCTTCTGCCCATATCCACAATAAGGAACACAAAAAAGATACATGCCATTTCTGTCGCAAATCTGGGCACCATAAAAAGGATTGCCTGAAACGTAAGGCATGGTTCAAAAGTAAAGGTAAGATTAATTCTTATGTATGTTTCGAATCTAATTTGGCAAAAGTTCCTTATAATACTTGGTGGATTGATTCCGGATGTACCACTTATGTTACTAATATAATGCAGGGATTCCTTTCAACCCAGACCATAAATCCAAATAAAAAGTTTGTCCTCATGGGAAATCGAGTCAAAGCTCCAGTTGAAGCCATTGGAACTTATCGTTTGATTTTAGATACTGGAGATTTATTTCAGACTCTATATGTACCTTCTATTTCTCGTAATTTAGTTTCCTTATCAAAACTTGATTTTATTGGATATTTCTTTGATGGTGGAAATGGATGTTTAAATTTGTTTAAACAAAATCATCTTATCGGTTCCGCTATTCTTTGTG